TGAGGTTAATTCCTGTCACTGTCAATGTAATATTTTTAATTGTGATTAAAAAAAGTTTTTCTCTACTATTAAAACTCCTAAATAAAATTTTCATTAAAGATATAATTATTCGATAGAAAATTATTTTCAATCATACTCGATTCAAGACTCAATTCAATCGCACTCAAAATCATGGGAAGCAAGTGATAGTTTGTTTTTAAAAGAGCAAAACCATCTTTGGTATATGGTAAAAATACAAAATGCAGGAAATCTTTAATTTCTTTAACCGTTTAATTTGGAGAAATGTATATGGTCACCGAAATCGTTGTTTGTTCATTTTCAAGTCTATTGTATCCACTTTTCTCCAAATTGAACAAGAAAAAGTATTTTAGATAAAAAATTGCATTAGTCCTTGTGTTAAAATAAATAAAATTTTCATTAAAGATATAACTATTTGATAGAAAATTATTTCCAATCATACTCGATTCATTTTTTTCAGATTTAAATTAGTATTGCGTATTTACCACGATAACATGTCAGATGTTTGTGGTAATCACTCAGACACATCATATGCGACTACTGTAAGGCTCGTTTCTTATCTTTCTTTCTTTTTTTTTCTTTCTTTTTTTTGGATCATTACGTTAAAAATTAAGGGATATATATAAACAAAATACTCAACTTTTGGAAATTTAATCCATTAGAGCTAATTAATTAAAGATATTCCACTGTAAATTAATTATATAAACCATTCATTTAAAATGAATAGTCAAATCGTTTTCTAAGGTATTCGTTAACATACAAAAAACATAGGACATTTAAATAGTGACACATTAGCTATTTTTTCGGGACAAAAATGATAATCTTTGCAATCCTCTGAAAACGCAATTTCTGCTACAAATCTATTTGCCTTCCCCTCTAAAATACTCATCACAGAATCCGTACTGCCATATATCTTGGAAGAGTGTATTTCAAAGAATATTCCTGCTAAGTATTGTCAGAATATTCGTAAAATTGGTTATTCTATGTTATTTTAAAGGGAGTGGTACTTATAAGTACCATCGGTAGATAAAGTGTTAAATCTGTCGAGAGCTCAAACGTCCTCCCGTTGGTGTGGTATGGTAGTTAGGAGAGAGGGTGCCAGTTCAGGTGTCGTCCACATCTCTTGACCATGGTTCAAAATTACGTGGTCCATTGCCAAAAGCCCTTGTGTTGCTGAACAGTGTGACGTTAATATTCACTCACTCCAAAAAATACAATACAGTAGTTATTATTTTTATACTTAAAAAATGCAATATCTGCCTATTCAAAATTATAGTGTTATAATTAACTACCAACCACAAACAAACTATGCAAATTTATCCAAATGATGTAGTGTGAAAGATAAAGTTTATTTACTTTAAGTACCAGAAGGGATAAAAGTATTTATTTTGAAATAAGGATCAATTTCTTATGGTTCACACATGGAAAAAATCAATAGTAGCTATCTAAAGAGATTTAAAGCAACCCCTGTCCTTTCAAAAAGTAGTTTTATTCTGAAATAAAAAAAAATAGGGATTACACTGATCACAGGAATAAATTAGAAGCCAGCGCCTTGTGTAGACAAAACAAAAAGTGTTTCTTCACAAGTAAAAGATAGATAAATGCTGCCACTGTCTTTTTTGCAGTGTATGCCAGAATTGCTTGCAGATGGAAGAATTTTTTCCTACTTGACAAATATTGTTATATTTTAGACACTTCACACAATATCTTTATAAATTATATCCTATGTGTTATTCTGACGTATAAGTTATATTACTGTAAAGTTTCATTAAAATCCATTCAGTTGTTTTTGCGTGAAAGACGACCAAACATCCAAACAAACTTTTGCATTTATAATATATATCTTGTTGGTCAACTTATATAATATGCTTCTAAATAATTATTTTCCAAAACAAAAAGGTTAATTTCAGCTTGGACTTACTGTTTGTGGCTTGTAAATATTTTAAGTGAACCACAATGTAAATTATAAAAGAAATATTATTGTTATAAAATTTTAACCTATATTATGTTACTATTTTTGAAAGTCTTATATAGTTCCTGCAATGAGAACTTTATAAAAATGCTATGCATTTTTATAATATTAATTAAATTTAGACTTCTCTATATTTTATGAAATTAAATTTATTTTATTTTAAAATGCTAAAATATATAATATTTTTATTAAATAGTGAAATGTATTGACTGTATTTGTAAGTTATATTTACTTTTACCTATTATATATATATATAATAAAATATATATATATTCATAAAATCTTTTGCTGTAGGTGGCACATCCTTTAGTCCAAGAACAATTAATGGAATACTTATATCAAGGATTCCTTGTTCCAGTATTAGGGCCAGCTTTACATCAGGTAAGTTGTACAATATATGTACATACTACTTCATTGTATATATGTGTATTTTCACACACACACATGCTGGAATTTTTTAAAAAAAGACTTATATGAAAAATTATCAATGGAATGTGCATATTTTCTAAAAGTGTATGATTTCTGAATGAAAATAAATATGTATTAGAGAAAAATCAAGACATGTATTTTGAATGTTTGAAAATTAATAATAGATATGTGAATAAAAAAATAAATAAATAATATATTTAGTTTATCTTTATATAGAGAGTGGTAAAACATTTTATTATATTCTTCTCTTTATTTAAAATATGTTTATAGTTTGTAGTTGAATTCTGGAAAATTTTTTAAAAAACATACCTTCATTATTTGTCCTTAAAAAAATATTTTTTTATTTGATAACACTACTTCAAATATTTCTCACAATTTTATTTTATATTTTTAAACCACTATATTAAATGTTCAAAATAGTTCTCATATCATTCAGTAAACAATAGTAAATTTTTAAAATCCAGATATTCTTAATCTTTGAAAAATAATTTGTGAACTGATACATAGCTTTAAATATTTTAGTGTATATGTGTGTGAGCATTTTACTTAGCTGGAAAAAGTATGATTGGGATGTGGAAGTATATTGGTGATTGATTCAGTGTTAACAAAAATATCTTTTAGATTTGCCTTGTTAATTATCTGTATGGTCTTCCTTTTAATGATAATTTTTTAAAAATGTAAATTGAATGGATTATCTTTGAATTATAGTCTTATGACCAGATATAAGGCTTAAATCTTATACTTTACTAAGAAAAGGATTAAGTCCACTATATTTAATATTCTTGGGTGTTTTAAATATGGACCAAATCACATAATTAAATAAAATTTTGGCATATATTGCAGTCATTAAGAACATTAATATATAGAATAAATTTAAGTTATGTAAGAAAATGGTATGCATCAATTGTCTGCTTAAGAAACATTCTGTTTATATATGTGCTGTAAGTAGTTAAGAGAAGACATTGGTTTATATTTTGTAATTTAAGAATTATATACATTATTTCACAATATAAAGAATATAATTAAGTATTAAAAGAAAATTTTGATTTTTAATTATTAGTTTTATCTTGACTGAGGTTTCATTTTTATTCATTGATTCTGTTTTGGTTCATTATTGAGCCTATATGTCATTATGTATGTTTGAAGTAGCCTAGATTTTGTTGTGGTTTATGAACATATAATATTTGAATTGATATTTTTATTCATATTTTGATCATTAAAATATTTTATTTCGATGATTCATTGATGTTTTGTTACTTTTAACATCAATATATTCATCAGTACTTTTTCTGAAAGCAATTTGAGAAATACTTTTTTTTTTAAAAAAAAAGCTAGTAAAAATTTGTTTGTATATAAGTTATGTTAGCCTTTTTGATTATTTTAAATCTAGGCTAGTTTGATCATGTATGGTTTTGATTTAGAACAGAAAAAATTGTTGCAAATGCACGTGACCAGTGATTACAAAGAAGCTTTGATCAATCCTAGGTTGCAATATATTTTTGATGAAGTGTTTTAATTTTATGTTGATATGTGATTTCATGATCTCCAACACCAATATTAAAGTAATTTGCACCCTGTTTCTCCTCTCTTCTCCTCGTTGCTGCATTGTTTGTGTAACCCGGAAAACCAGGAAGCTGTAGCAGTGCCTGTCGCCAGGCTTGAAAACACTACAAAGTATTTGGTCAGTACGCAGTTGCTCTTACTCATTGTGGCTTTGGACTGGCAGTGTCTTTTATAAACCTGCCTTGTATTCTGTCAATTAACAAACATTCTTAGCACTTGTTTCGCCCTCTGCATGCTCATAATGCACGCCATGAATCGTTGCATGGTACTCTCTTATACTGGGAAAACTAATTTTCTGACCAGTAATTTTCCTAACTTTGGTATTATTTCTATAATTCATTTCCTAATATCTGTAGAAATGTTAACTAGTTATATGTTGTGTAAATGCTATATTAATCCATAGTAATAACTTTCATAGTATATATTAGAATTAATATATTTATGTTGCAGTTGAAAAATTTATTGAAAATATTTTTGTATTCGTATGTTACAAAATCAACAAGATATGCAATTGATTTCATGGTCAGTTGTGTAGTTTTGTAGAATATATTTTATTATAACAATATTCTTTAATAAAAATTTAGTAAAAAGAGAAACTTGTAATGTAGCTTGTATTTTAATGACATGAATAGTTAATCATAAACTAATATTACTTAAAAGTTAAATTACTAAAAAAATACATCATAGGTTGTCATGTATTTAAAAAAAATTTTTTAAGGTTTTCAAGGAAGAGGAATTTGCTTTATAATTTTAACATAATTTTTGAAAAAGTTTTCTAATATAAAGCAAATATTAATATATCTTAGAGTATAGCTATATTTAAACTTTAAAAAAAGAGAGAAATGACCTTTCTCTCTTCATTGTGGTTCTCATGTCCATGGATTTGACAAAGGGGAAAAAAAACAAAAACCCTAGTTTCTACCAAAGGTGGCAACAACTGCGGCTGCCAGTTCCAGAGTGTCCTGGCTGTAGAGGATCTGTTTATGGCATAAATTATGTAACAATAGAATCCTTCCATTGGCCATACCATGATGAAAGCACCGGTTCTCGTCCAATCACCGAAGAGCGTCATTTGGGTGCAGTCAGCACTTGGAGGGTGACCACCAGGGAACACTGTGTGTCGTTGGCACATTTCAAATTTTAAGGCCCAGTGGTCGAGTTGTAGCTTGTTGTGCTTCCACACCGCAGATCCAGGCTCTATTCCCGGGCTGGACAAGGTTGATTCAGCCTTTCATTCCGATTGCAGTGGGTCGATAAATGAGTACCAAGCTTGCTTGGGGACTTAAACACTGGGGGTTTCACTTCAGACTGACTACCTGATCGGGACATATGCTCATGCATCTCAGCGCCCAATGGTCACATACTGGGATTAGAACAGTAGGCCCTGGTTCTCATGGGCTGTTGGGCCACTGAGTTTGAGTTGAGAATCCTTCTCCCTTTCCTCCATGTACATTTTCACATATTGATACTGTATAAAATATCCCCCATTCTTATTTTAAATTTATATAAAATATGTCCACTGATATGTTATGTATTTCACATATTACTGCATTGTATATTCCTTTTCCTAACTAAAGTACTTTAATTTTCATTTATGATTTTTATTTGTTTATATGCTTTATTTTATTAAGTTATCAAGTATAAGTTTAGCTTTAAAATTAATTATAGTCCCTCCCTAAATTTCATTTTTTTTTCGAAATAGTGGATAACTTTTTATTATTTTACCAAATACCACCCAATACTACAAAAAATTTATTATACTACCCAAATTAGATTTGCATATGATCTGAATTATGAGCAGCCTAAGTGAAATCTCCCTTATTGATGTCTTGGGATTGGAGTGTTTTTAGGACATTTTATGATTAATACTTACCATTTAGACATATTTCAATGGCTAACCTATGTTGGTATTTATTCTAATAGTTTAGCTTTTTATTTTCAAAAAATTTGACAGTATTCACAATGTTTTGTAGTATACTGATATTATAGCTAAAGAAATAGTAAACAAAATTTCCCTTTACCTCTTTTTGCTGTGTGTTTATTCATAAAACTTTGCTTAAAATTTCTTGACAGATTCTTTTTAAAAAATAATTCTATATTTTTAAAGCATTTTGTTATTCATTGAAATCAGTGGCGCACACAGGAACTTTTCAGGTGGGTCAAGGGTTAAAAGTACACTATTCTCGCATCATACTCCAATACGGCACCTAACATTCTTTACATTTTATTGATTGTTGGAACAAAAAACAGTTAAAAATAAATTGTTGAGCAAATAATTAGCATTATTTGATTAAACACATTTTAATGCATTAATTAATGAAATAATTATATTATGTACTATACACTTAGGATTATAATCAATAAAAAAATCAAGGGTTTTGAATGGATCCCCCTTGTGTGCACCTCTGATTAGAATTATTGTTACCTTTCCCTTATGAATTAAAGTTTCTATTAAAATTTGAATAATATTTCCCATTTTAATTGTATATTACAAATATGCATAATAGCAATTAATTAATGCATCTACAAAGCAAAATATGTCACATTTATTTCCCCCTTCTGAGTTTTATTGATTAGGAGATTTTCAAAATTTGTTTTTTGCTCAAGTGCTATTAATAGAAAATATGTTTGTGTGATAAACAATAATTCAGACATTTAAATAAAAACATATGATTCATAACTTCCATACACAAGAGATAAATTATAAACTTTTTTGAGCATGTATTTTTAGAATTTGGGAAAATCTAATTTTGTATTTAAAATATTTATATTCATCTTGATATTTTTTTGAATATTGTGTTTTTATTTGGAGTTTTTAAAATGCTTTTATTTTTAAAGAGATAAATAATTGTCTTTTTTAAAATTTCATTATGTTCAATCTGAGAATTTTTGAAACAGGGCTAAGAATGACTATCTCTTATTATTGTTATTATTATTTCCATATAAAGTATTAATTGTCAAATTACATCTAAAGTATATTTTCAGATTATTTTTAGTGCTTCAGTTTGCTAGTATATCTTTCTGCCACATTTTTGCATTTAAAATCTTAATTGTTCTAAGCACTATATTTACCATAAGCCACTACAGTGAGCAAAAACAGCTGCTGCTGCCTTTTGCTGTGCAAATTCTTTACACATTTTTTTTATTGACACAACAAATGTATTTCTTGCAAAGTAAAGTATTCATATTCTGATGCTTCTGCAATAAATTACTTTTTTTTTACACTTGATGTTCAAAACTAGTGTGTGAAACCATTGAATTTTTTTAAACTAATAACTGGCATGCTAGTATGCGAATAATTATTAATATCCTTAAATGTTCTTCCTAAGAACTAACATATATGCCTTCTAGCAAAAAATAACATATATCAATAATCCAAATTTTTTTTAGAGTTTTTAATTATTTAATGGAATTAATATCAATAAGAGAAAACATTGATATATGGCAAATGTATGTTATTTAACCTGTTTGTGACAGTGCATCACACAAGAAAGGTTGTAATGTTTGGTAATATGCAATGTTGTAATTGTTGGTAATATTTTAAATTGTGTTATTTAAGCTTTGTTAAAATTAGTATTCAAGAATCTTTTTTCTTTTAATTTACTTGAAAATATATAAAAATTACTGTAATCTTGAACTATTCAGATTATTCTTATGTTTTAATTGACAAAATGCATTTATAAACTTTAAAATTCATTTTTAATAGTGAGACAAGGACTGTTTATAAAAGTGTCAAAATTTTAAATGACTTTATCTGGGATGAAATGTTCTTATCAGATTCACTCGAAATATCATCTTCTCTAACTCTTTAGGAAATGAATAGTCACTTTCATTCGTATCACTAATAAGTTCGTTTATCATTCCCATATATTCTTCCTTTGATAAAAAGTACTTTCTCCATATAAACTGAAATCAAGACTTTCTAGAATAAAAGGAAAGCATGTGAAATATATCAAAGAAGTCACATTAAGTATAAAAACTGACAGCAACCCCCTCCCCAAAAAAACCCACCCATATTAATGAATTTTTTTTAAAAAGAAGTATCTGGAGAGGTAATAAAGACACAAATATTTATATCGCATGGAAAGTTCAAATACCAAGCTCTGTGTGTTTACGTTGCTTTCCCTCTCAAACAACAAAAGTTGATCTGTAAAATACTAAAATCAGACAAACTATAAACAAACTGAAAATCAAGATCCTAAAACTATGTTCAATTCAAAAGTAATAGACACAGGGTGGCATGTAGTGGTATTTAAAAAACATTTTTAGCTTGAAATGCACATGTGCATCAATGTCCATTAAGCACTCCAGTCATGTTCATAGGGATTGCATATGTGACTCACTCATTCCGAAAAAGATAAAATTGAATTTCTTTTACTGTTATTCAATTCATGAATGTAATGATTCATGAATTCATGATTCATGAATGAATGTAATAATTCATGAATTTGTTTCTTTCTAAAGAAAGAAACAAATAATATTTTTTTTGTAAAAAAATCCATAGTTTTTTTATTGAAAAATATCAAACACTTTTAAAAGATTTAAGGTATAACCTCAATTATATAAAAAACAACAACATATTGTATTTTCTGGCCTATAAGACACATCAGCATGTAAATAAAGTTAGAATTTATGAAAATTACTTGTAGCTGATATAAAAGGATTAAAGCACTTCTCTTTCAATGATAGCATATATAAGGAAAATGGAACTTTAATATTAAAGAATTAGCAAATATATCTACCTTTATTTACTGTAAAGTCCTGAAATGTCATTTCTGCTACTAAAATCATATGCACAATTATTTTTGTTTTGGCTGTCATTGTCACTAGATTAGTCTTTTTCCTCATATACTGTTTCATCTTATCTTCCATCAAATACATTATTAGTTACACACTTTTTAAGACTATGATAATCTCTCACTTTTAATTTTCTGCTAGGTCTTTTTCACTTGTTCTCAAACACTAAATTTGATACCATTTCACTTCATGTTAGTGGAAATTCATGAGTTGACACCTCAATTCACTTCATACATAAATCCCTTGAACGGCTTATGGACTGAAATGTCTAGAAGTTAATCCCCAGGAATCAAAGAAAGTTTCATTCTCAATTCAGTAGAAAAAATTTTTGCTGACCCCATTATGTGGGCTTTAAATACATTGCACACTAATAAAGATGATTTCTTCAGAAATCCACCTGGACGTTTGGATCATACTTTTTATAACCATAACTTCATATCCTCTTCATTCATCCATCCTTTGCAATGAGCATGAATATGAATTCCATGTGGAATTGTACATTTTGGCAGGATTTTTCATTTAAAAATTGACATATGAAACCAAATGTAACCACAACATGGAAAAAAAGCTGTATAGCATATGTTTTCATTACTACAATAATTATTAATACTATCTTAGCACCTTTAACAGCCACTATTCTGTTTGATTGCTTATCAAATGTCAGAGGTGTCTCATTCGTGTTTCCTATTTGTCCTATCTCAAAACTAATCTTTTTTTTCTCTCAAGTTCATGATGTATGTGTGGATCTCTATAATCTTTCTTTCACATTCAAGTGGTAATTTTTGTGCTATTTTGGCTCTGATATGCTTGCACAGATCGTTTATCCTCAGGAATCTCGCATGCTGTGATGTTGTCGCAGAAAAATCAGCAATAGTCATATCTATTGCTAATTTTCTTGTTTCAAATAAAATAATTTTCATTGAAACAGTAATCCCATTTTTCAAGTGATTTATTAACATATTCCTCGTGCTTTTGCCATTTAGGAGAACATAAAAGTAGAGTTCTTTTACTTCTATCTACATTAACTAAATCCATCTTTTGCATCCTCCATTCTCATATTGAAACAGAATACTATACCACAGGTTTCTTTCTTTTTTTTTTTTTTTTTTTTTGATATCATGAGGATCTAAATGTTTTATACAACACTTAATTACTTTATGCAAAAACAGATATGTGACCACTTATTGAGAAAGGATCATACTATGCATTGAATAATGCTCTTATATTATTTAAGTCTGACTACTTGTAGATTCTAAGTTTATTGCAAGATATTCTGATTCCAATGAACCAATCACTTCGGGGCTTTTGTCTTTATTTAGTAGAAACTA